TACTTTCTCTTCAGGGACAGCCCATCTACATGGTGTTGATTTCTTGTTGCCTAGATTTGGTTGGTTTAAAGGTAATTGTGTTTGGAAAATGGGTTGTAAGGTGTTGATCTCTTGTTGGTTGTTCAAGAGATCGGTGAAGTTTGGAGAGGATCTCAATGAAATGGTAAAATCCATATCCATTGTAGTTGAAAAGAAAGAAGAAACAGGAAAATCCTAATCTGTTTGACACGAGCTAAGACAGATTGTTGAAGTTTAGTTTCAACAAAACAGAACTCAGATCTCTTGTTCTGCTCCATAGTGATATGGATTGGGTTTATTTAAACAACTCAGTAATGACCAATCCAATCTGTCTTTAATTCGGGTTAGGTTTAGAAAATTTAAGACAGATTGGTGAAGTTTTGTTTTTTTACTTACTTTATCAGTTACATATAAATTGTCTTTATATTTACTTCAGTTTGGTTACTTACTTTAGTTTTGTTAAGTTTTCTTCAATAACTTAACATTTGGTTACTCATTTAGTTTTGTTAAGTTTTTCAGTAGCTTAAATTATTTTAGTTTTCTTTTCAGCACCAACAATTACCAAACTAACTACTGTTCTACCATTACTACAGCACCGCAGAAGCATCACAGAAGCATCAACAATTACCAAACTATCTACCTTTTTCAGAACACACATTAATAGATGAGAGCATCACACATTAATGAGAAGCATCAACACACACCATTACTACTGTTCTACCATTACTACAGCATCACAAAATCAAATACACAAGCATTACTTAGAAGATTAACACACACAAGCATTACTAAAAAGACTAACCTATCCAAGGCTTGAAATGTCTTACTACATACTAGTGTTCCTCCAAGCATCCAACGACAGCATCACAGAACATATCCTCCACACAAAACAGAAACAGAGAAGAAGATAATTCTAAGTTAAAACCGAGTGTAAACTAATACCAAAAACAGAACATATCAATTATGTTCGAAATCATATCAAAANAAATCAATAATCTAAAAAGTTATTCCTCATCAGTGAAATCACAGTAAAAGGTTGATATAGTGAGCCGATCAACAATCACTTGATATGAAACTAATCAACAAGGTTCAAAAAGACTACAAAAAGGTTGAAGAGCTAACCTCGTTGGTAAGATCTTGTTGAATCTCTGCGTCCATCTCTACTGAGGGGAAAACACGAAATAGATATAAGGTTAGCGAAAACATGAAATATAGAACGAGATAACAGATGGAGAAATCAGAGAAAGAATAGAAACAAGTACCTGAATCGACATGCAAGGTTCGATTCGCCTCCGATGAGAATTCGAGAGATAGAAGGATTTCGTGATCGATTCATCTTTTTGTGTCACCGTCGCTATCGCCCGCTGAATCGAGAAGGCGATTCACCATCGGATTCACCATCAACTAGAAGACGACTCACCTTCTCAACCGGTAAGACGAATCGCTGCCGTAATCACTCTGAATCTCCTTTCAAATCACCGACCAAGGCGCCGTCGTCATCGCCCCAGAGAGAAGAGAAGAGGTTGCAGACGATTCACCATCAACGACGGCGTCGGTTATCGCCTC